CTCTTGTATAATTTAACCTTCCCAAAGACAAGCATCTACTTCATCATCAATGAAATCATTTTTCCTCTATTCTTCACAACACTTGGTAGTTACTACAAATTTCAATATCAGGAGGAAAAGAGTCATCTGAATGGTACATAGACCATCTTTGAACCTCTGACCTTGGACTTGACATTAACTTCTGACCTTGGACAAGTTCCAGAACTGAGAGAGAAATCATTCCATGTCAGACTTGAAACTTCTTTTCAAGAACTTGGAAGTTAACAATTTTTAAACCCTTACTGAGAAATGTATAATGTTTGTATTTATGTTAAATATCTGTTTCTGTGCACGGTTTATTCCCTACAAAAAAAGTAATTGACATTTATGTTATTTCCCTATCTCCAAGTGAAAGCATGTTTACATTGGACAAAAGAAATCAATATAAGGTATTTCTTGTATTTGAATCAAACATTCAAAAACATTGTAAGATTTCTAAGATGAGGCAGAAATGACTGTCAACTCTTTAAAAAGTCATAATTCAATTCAGGGTTAAATACAAATTAGTTTTCATTGGTCATGTTTCACACTGAACATTTATGTTTTGCAACCAGTTGCTCCACATCAAGTCATGTGGCGTTTCTATACGTATAAATCTAATTAGAGTGGAGGACTTTGCATATAAGTGTAATAAAATAATGTAATTACAGCATCTAGGGTCTAGTTTTCATTGAATCCCCTCAATACATAAATATAAGTAGCTGATCATATCAAGTATTCAAGACAGCCAAGATACAACTCAACAAATAGTCATACTAACTAGACTATTAAACTGTAACTATTTAAAATTTGCTGAGTTTTTTGGGGCAATTTGATTGGAACTTCAGTCATTTAGTTGTAAAATAATATTTCAAACTTTTATTTTTATTTAAAGAAAAGATATAACGATAGCAGCCTACTTGTACCCATAGTCCCCTAAAACAGAAAAATCTGCAGTGTCCCTACATATATTTGTATAATATGGGCATTTCCCATATTATAGTCTCCAAATATTACCCAATCATCTCTATCGGGCAGTTTTAAAAAGCAAACACATCTTGGATAGGCTCTTTGTACAGTTGTCAACAAGGTGCTATTTCCCACATTCTTTAGTTTGAATGGTGATGTTTGTATTTTGATTAGGCAATATTGGACCAATCTGTGAAAATTCCCGTTCTCCCTCTTTCATCTCAGCAAAATGAATTTGCCTGCACAACTGGCCATTGGCAAAGACCATTTATGAAAAAAACTTAGGAAGCTACTGAGGACAGAGTGGGCACTTGTATTGACAACTTCTTAAAAGTAAATGGTTTCCTTTCCTATACACACCACTATCATGTCTATCTACTGCAAATACAATAGTAATAATATATTACTTTATAATATTTATATTACAAATAATACTGTACCTTTGTAATAAGTGTACCTGCCTGGATAAGATGGGGTGACAAAATATATAATCTTTGGACTTTGGCTTGGCCTTTTAAAAAGAATAAGGCAGAGAAGTAAAAGCACTTTAACTTAGTCTAATATAACCATATTAGTCTAATATTAGTATTGTTGTATAACTTTATGAAGGGCAAAAATAATAGAATAGAATAGAATTCTTTATTGGCCAAGTGTAATTGGATACACAAGGAATTTCTCTTTGGTGCATATGCTCTCAGTGTACATAAAAAGACAAGATACATTCATCAAGAATCATAAGGTACAACACTTAATGATAGTCATATCATTAATATGCTTACAAATAAGCAATCAAATCATATTAGGAAACAATCAGTATAAATTGTAAGGATACAAGCAACAAATTTACAGTCATGCAGTCGTAAATGGGAGGAGATGGGTGATAGGAACAGAAGACTTGCAAAGCTATAGAAAAAGTTGGAGTCTTAGGGAAAGTGCAATCCATCTGCAAGATCCTCTAAGCTTTTAGACTTCATCTAACAAAAAGATTTACCAGTATCTTAAGGATGAGAGATCTGTGTAAAGGATCCTACAAACCAATTGCTTTACTAGAAAAAAACTGGATTCCTCCATTATAATAAATAATTGAAGAGGAAAGCTAAGATCACTGGTGTACCATAGATAGGAAGCTGAATTATGGGGATAAAGTCTATACCAGGGGTGTCAAACTCACGTGGTCACAGTGGTGTCACGTGACATATTATGACCGCACGTGCGGGTGTGTCCAGCATGTGATGAATTTGGCCTGCAGGCCGCAGGTTTGACACTCCTGGAGTATATAATTGAGATTAATGAAACAATCCATTGCTGCTGTAATCTATTTTGCAGAATAGTTTATTGTGTTCTTTTCCCTTGTCTTAATTTAATTAAACAAAACAAAGAAGAAAGGGAAAAAAGGGAAAAAGAAGAGAAAGGTGGAATTGGGGAAAAAGTTGTTCTCAACCAATATATTCTTCTTAATGGAACAGACTAGGAGCCAGTAAACCCCACAACCAAATATCAGTGCAGTACAAATTTATCAGACATAATAAGCAAGCCAGACCTCAACAGTGTAATTAATAGTAAATATTTAGGTTCAGTCCTTCACATCTCCAGTTAACCAATCTCAGATAGCAAGACTAAAAATGATGTTTTTCTACGAGAGACACTAGAAAGGTGCTACCAGTTAGAAAAGTCTGGTTCCGAAAAACCTACTGCCCTTGTCAACTTGCACAAAGTCCACAAAGGCCTTAGGTCTACATTGCCTGTGCTAAAAAGATCATACCTTGAGAAAGGAAGGAAGAGTATTCCGAATGCTCTAAGGTCCTTCTTTTGTCCTCAGTCTTTAATTGGAAGACGTAGCCTTAAAATGAAATATTGTTCAGCTTTTTGACAACCTACATACTATTTTTACAAGCTTTTCACTGTGACATAGCACTTCCTTAATAGGTGCTAACCACAAGTTAATAAACTCCACTCTGTAATCTTTATTAGCTGATTAGTACCTTCCAGGCCTCATGGACAGCTGCTTGAAATTGACAAGAACTTAATCAGTTACAAACTAGCTGTAATCTAGCACATTCCTAGGATTGATAAACCAATCAATTCCATGATGAAAAAAGTAATTTCATATATAGGCCTAAGTCTGACTGAAGGGACACAGTGGCTCAGTGGCTAAGACGCTGAGCTTGTCGATCAAAAGGTTGGCAGTTCAGCAGTTTGAATCCCTAGTGTCACGTAATGGGGTGAGCTCCTGTTACTTGTCCCAGCTTCTGCCAACCTAGCAGTTCAAAAGCATGTAAAAAATGAAAGTAGAAAAATAGGGACCACCTTTGGTGGGAAGGTAACAGTGTTCCGTGCACCTTTGGCATTTAGTCATGCCGGCCACATGATCACGGAGACGTCTTCAGACAGCGCTGGCTCTTCAGCTTTGAAACGGAGATGAGCACCACCCCCTAGAGTCGGGAACGACTAGCACATATGTGCAAGCGGAACTTTTACCTTTACCTTTTAAGTCTGATTGGTTGGTTGGTTGGTGGGTTTGCAGTTTTTCACTGTAATTTTTGACACAGATGCAAAGGAAATTAAACAGTGTGCCATCATTTTCCCCCCTAGTTGTCTTCCTTTCCAATTCTCTATGTCCTCCTTTTCAGATATCTGGTAATCCTAAACCTTGTGCGTGTTAGGTCAATATTCAGTTCTCAACACCCTGAACCACAAACTATTCCATCTCATATTAATGATCTAATATTATATTAATTCAGATGAGACAAGAGTCAATTGCTTCACATCTCATGAGTTTGTAGGAAGAAGTGGAAGTGAAGAAGGCAAGGTGACAATTAGTGTGAGTTCTTTTATATCCCTCCCACTGGTAGAAGCTCCATCTACGTGACACCTAAAAAATAAGCTCCTAGAAAAAATGGCCTCCAGCTTTAAAAAGATCACACAACTAAATAGATAATATTAAGTTAGATGGGCTTGTGCTGTGCTTGATTATAAAGCAGCTTTATGTGTATACTAATATCTCATTTCACCCAAAACACACTTTGGGACCTTTTTTAACAATAAGGATCACATTTTCTCAGAAAAAGCAATACATAGTAGCTATATTGGCCATGAGAGGAAAGAAGTAAAAAAAAACAAAATTCCACAAACGCAATATCATGATTAGGAATATGTATTTTCTGCTAATGAGGCCTCACATACTGGTTAGGGTAAACCAAGCTACAATGAAGACTGATTTTAAAATATCTCTTTTTCTAATTTTAGAGTTCTCTCTAAACCCTTCTTGTACTATAGAAAAATAGCAAGACAATGCCTATTTAGGAAAGCATTTCAAATTATCCTTTTCTCCATATCAGTACGGAGAAACAAATTGGGAAAATTAAACCTTTAGCAAGGCGGTATGCTAGAGTTATCTTACTAGTTTTTGTTTCCATTTTAATTAGTTCTATATAAGCAGTTATTGTTTCATATTATAGCAACTATAATACAGAGAACATATCTGAAAACAAAAACATTAAAAATGTAACCTCCAGGAAGAGCAACAGCCAGAAGGAGAAATATCTAGAAATATTTCCAGGAAATTTGTAACACTAGATACGCATAAAGCCATATTCTATGCCATATTTGAAAAAAAAAACAAGGTAAGGGTAGGTGAGGGTAGAAAAATATCAAATTTGCAACAGGAGGCTAATTGATATTTACCATAGCCTCAACTATATAACAGTAATACAGATTTCCGTATGAGGCTTTTAGTGTGCGCTGTCCTTATTTCATTCACATTTATATTAGAGTTCCCCATTTGTAACCTTCCTACTTTTAGCCCATTACTTCTAATGATACACTGCCTCTTCACAGAGAGGCATTCACCTGGAAGGACAACAAACCAGTAACAAGCGAACATTTAGCATACCGTAAAACTTCAGATATTTCCTAAAGAAAATGTATGTGGATTTATTGACAAAAGTAATCCTTGTGCCTGTCCCTCTCCTACAAGTGTACTAAATGGTAGCAAAGTGGCATGACTCACTCACCTGCACTGATAATAAGGAGGGGACCCCCCTTTGTTTTCATAGTGGCTCCTCTGCTTTCCCCAGTCTTTGCTTCAAGTTGTCAAGAATGCAGGTGTTAATGAAAGTGCAATCCAATGTTGAAAGTAAGAAAGTAAGAAAAAAAGTAATTGCCTTCTAGTTGTAGTTTGTACTGTGTCTCCACTTCCGCCCTAGATTTTTTTTCCACTCCCTCTTCCTTATATCCTTTCACCCTTTCTAACAAGAATTGCAAGTTGTGTCACAGTAGATTTGTTTTCATATCTTCCATTCTCTTGCTGAACGGCCAAGGAAACAATGCCTTTCTAAGTTGCTCTGCCTTCTCCCAGTTAAACAAGCCACTCTTACAAATTTCTTTTGGTAGACAAAAGAACATGCAGAAAAGAATCAGTGGTGTTTAGGGCAGGGCTTCACAAAGTGCGAAGTGTATTTTTCTTGGAGACGTGTAGAGTAGAAGTGCAGAGTCCAGGGCGGTGTGAACAAACTTCCAGTTGTCCATTGTTATAATAAATCCATATTTCTCAACATTTCATTGTATTGTTTTCATTGTTCACTTGTGTTCATTTTGATTTTTGGATTTTTTTGATTATACATTAAGATTACACTTAAGGGAGGTGTGATGCAAAAAGTTTAGGAAATCTTGGTTTAGTGGTTAACATGTTGGACAAGGACTGTGGAATCTCAGAATTATGTCCACAAAAATTCATAGGGTGTTGTCTTCTATCAGCCCAATCTACCTTATAGGATTGTTGTTATAGGAAAAAATGAAGACAGATCTCTGTTTATGATGACTTGAATTTTCAGGATATATCAAAAGCAGGATATAAATTGAACAAATGAATAAATAAAACAGCAATAAGCCAGATTTCTCAAGCAGCCAAGTAAATGTGCTAGTACAGATACCACAAAAGGAACAATTACAGTAAGGCAACACTCTGGACATTCTCATCCATCTAGGTTATGGATGTCCCAAAAGTACTTTTCCAAAGGGCAACTGGACTTTCTTGGGGGGGGGGTTCCTTGAAAATGTTTCACTTCTCATCCAAGAAGCTTCTTCTGTTCTCAGAATTGAAGAAGCTTCTTGGATGAAAAGTGAAATGTTTCACTATTCAAGAAAGTCCAGTTGCTTTTTGGAAAAGCATCTTTGGGACTCTGGTAGTGCATGTTTACGTTTTACTGGTACTGATTCAAAGCCATTACTTGTCATTAAAGAAATAAAAACACTTCATGCTAGGCATTATATGTGAAATTGTGATCTAATTTATTTCTTCCCCTAGTGAAATGCTACAATATTCTATTTATTCAATATTGTTACATTCCATGCTGTTAAAACTTCCGACTTCCTGCACCCATTACACTGGAATTTGTTGTGTAGGTATAATTATAACTAAACTATTTTTTTCTGGTATCCAGAAAAAAAAAATCTATGCACTATCCAATCTATATTTGTATAGATATATACAAATATATTTCTATATCTATAATTTTTGAAATTTATAAAATTCCATTAGCCATTTTATACATTCATAACAAGCATAGAATACAAATGTGTTAGGATCTATTAAAATTTAATGGATATTTTGTTTTAACCAACCTCTTTTCTTTCCTATTAATTTCTGAAACTGGGGGTCTAATTTTCTGTATTCCACACTGCTCTGGGGATATTATTATAATATCAGATCTCTATTCCTTATATTATGTAGAGATTAACCAACCACTCTACTGTAGATCATAGTTTTTTTTACTACACTTTAGTGCAAAAATCGTCACTGCTTTGTAGTAACTAAAAATAATTATGTCTCTCACCTCTATTTTCAGCATTTCACTCTTCCTCTTTCCCTTCCCCCAGCCTCAAAAATAGCTGTGTGTACATGTAACACTCCTCCTTGCGTAGGGTAATATTTCATGTATTTCATTATGTGGGTGCAATCCAGGAAGCAACTGCAATAATCCATTCGTTAATCTTTAAAGTGTCATAAGACTTTTGCTTATTTTCCCCAATTCAACTTCTCGTTTCCTTTTGAGGCTTACCTTTTCTGCAATAGCCCATTAAAAATAGGAAGAACAGGCAGATGGGAATGAAGATATTTAAACAGAGAATAATTTTAGTTCCTGATCCTCAAAGGGGACACATGTAAACAGACTTAAGAATATAAAAAATGATAAAATTATTTTTGGGGGCATGACACCTTGGAACTTTTTTGCAGATAGTTGTTCCTTTATTTGAAAGGATAGAGTTAAAAAACCAGGCATGGCATTTCTCCTGCTATTAACCAACAGCCAGCCAGTGCCTAGAGATGTTATATTTAGAAGGCTGATAAAGTTTGAAGCTGACAGTTGTCCTGTCCCTTTGCAAAAAAAATCACCGAGAAGGCAAGAAGGCAACTGCCTGGATCCTACCTTTTTCATTAGTTTCCTATTTTTATTTTATTTTTAGGTTTGTGCCTGAACTCTCAAAAAAGATAATTTTATCACCAAGAGAGACACATGTTCACAGCATAAACGGTAAGTTGTTTTGAGTTTGTGGTAATTTCTCAGGTCAGACTTGCTAGGTCACCGCAAAGTAGCAATAACAACCCACCCTTGCTTGTGGCGGCCCGGCTGCATTCCTGACATTTCAGAAAAGCTGCAAGGGGCGAAAATGAGAACTGCAGAAGAAGGAAATAAGATCAAAGCTTTGGGGATCAGAGTGGGAGAGCTAATTCTATAAGGGCTACAGAATCCAGAGTAAGGGACCTGTTGAAATCACACTGGCTTCATAACATTCCTGTAAAGCCAGAACATGATCCGGGACATCCATTTTGACTTTGGTAGAGAAGTCAAAATGGAAATATTTAATTATTATTATTATTATTTTTAATAATGCTCTCTTTTAGGCGACAGTTCTTCTTAACTGGAAATACATTCCATTAAACTCAATAGAATGTATTTCTGAGAAGACACGCAGAAATTTGTGTTTCCAAAGCACGTTTGTATTTTAATAGTGTTGGACAAAAATCTGTAAAGAGAGAAGTACTAATCTTAAAAGTTTTCTTTCGCTTCTCAAGAAGTTTGTTTTGTCTCTTTAAGCAGTACTCCAAAGTCTCCAAACACTTTATCATGGGTTTACAAAACCAGGTCAAGCATATGTGGACAGGTTCAGTAACATTCCATGGGCAAAACCCTAACATATAGGAAATAGTGTTAATAAACAAACAACAAGAAAAACTAAGATTATAAATGTTTACAATATACATATGTTTATAATTTATAAATATGATTAATTTATAAAATATTATAAATTACTAATTTACAAATTAATTATAAAAAGACAAAATTTTGAAATAGTCTCAAGTTGCTATGTTGAGTGTGCTAAATGGACCTGCTAAATTGCAGTTACACTACAACTGTAGCTAGCTGTAGCTATTTTAACTAACTTCCTCTTGAAGCCTAACCATAATGCAACATATAAACTATTAAAATGTATCTATATGGCTTCTATTTGTGTGAAACATGACAATATTCAAATAGTTTCCATTCTCCCACAAAAGGTACACTGGGTTTCAATTTTTTTTTTAAAAGGGATTTGCGTTTTGAAAATCTATTTATTATTACACCATATTTTACTATTTATGTGAATATCTAATAGCATGCAACCAATCATTTGATAAGAAAGGAATAGACTTTTGCATTGGATACGGTAATCATGAAGAATCTCATTTCCTTGCATAGTTACAAAAATTTCCTCTGACTGAATTCCATGTTTAATTTTTCAGAATTCAAAATTTTGTCTTGGTTGTTTGAAATGTTTTATTACAGAAAGCATTATATATAGTAAATATTTAAATGTTTTTTTCCCCTCTTTCTAAAATATATAGCGTACTTTGTATGACTCAGCCAATGAGATTCTTTATGGAATTCTATGATTTAGCTGATTTTGATCTGCCAATCCTTTTTTTCCCAATTTCATCTGGTTTCCACAACAGTGATGGCAAGCAGTATGGATTCAGGCAGGGACCAGGAGGTGCCTGATGGAGAAGAACCTGATGTGAAGGCAGTGCAAGCTCACTATCTTAGAAGTCCTTCGCCTAGCCGGTGAGTGTTTCACAAAATAAGTCTCTATATACCTCCCATTGTGTAAAACAAATTGCAAACTTTTTCTTTTCTCTCTCTCTTTTTACATTCACCCAGTCCATTATTGAAAGCCTTACCAAGGACAAGGCCTAAAGAGTTCTTTCTTCTTTCAGAATCCATGATTGAGAGCACAAGCATTATTTTGCTAATTTAATTGATTCAACAGAGGTTTTGTACAAACACTAAGGTTTCTTGGGAGAAGCGCTGCAGACATCCGTGAGGCAGGAACAGAAGCCCACCCAAGCTGCTGTTTTCGCATCTATCTTTCTATAGCACTGATTGGTTTAGATGCTACTGTTCAATTCTACTTTTGGCGCAGACTTGGAATTTGTGGGTAGCCAGATTGTAAACTAGTGAGTGAAATGGAGGGAGGTCTAGTTAAAAAGGGTGATATATATACAATTGGTTTGTTTCAGCCTGCAGTTTAACCTTTTTTCATTGTCATCAATCTGCCTATCCTTCCCAATCCATTAAAAAAATTAACTTGGTGAAGATTCAGCTGAGAGTGGGAACAGCCAGTGCTGCTGTTGGATGGTATTGGAGATCAAAGCTCTAAGCGGAATACAGTTTGCATGAAGGGGCTTTTTCTGCTCTGTGTTGCAAAACTGGAGTAAAACAAGAAATAATTTCCAGTTCTGAGAGCACACAAAACCAAAGATCCATTGGAGGCTATCAGAAAGGAAATAAAGTAATTACACCAGTATAGAAAAACAGGAAACATACAATCAATATCCAGCATTTGAAAAATGCAAGTAAATTTCCTTCTTGGACTTTTAGATAAAAAGGAGCCTAATATGAAAACCTGAAATGGAGCAGTCTTCCAACTGTCTAACAAAGGAAACTAAAGGACACCACTTGCATATTCTCTTTTCTTGCTTTTTCTATGGTCAATCCCTGCATGTGAATATGGATTAGCTGTAACTGGAGCCTTCTAATATTTTGTACATTTCAACTCAAGTCCATGTGGACTTCCTCCTTGTCCTAGCCATGTTAGCTGCTATTAGCTTGAAAACTGGCCGTACACAAACTGCTTCATGACCAGTTGCCATAGAAACCCTTTTTGATCAATACAGCTATGTTTGCAAGATTCAGAAACTTAGAGACCCTCTAGTGGATAGAAAAGAAATACATTTTTCTACTTAAAAAGGGACTGTGGCAAACACTCAACTTCTTAACTTGGATTTGTCAGAAAAGTACAGGAAAGATCATTCTTATGGGCCTCCACATTGGTTTCCATTAGAAAGGCATTCT